CAGGCGAGTTGGATGGAGGAGAACTGGAGAGGGAGCCATGGTCACATGGCGAAGTTGGATGAGAGGGAGCTGGAGGTTGGAGATGGACGCCCACCTGTCGGTGGGTGAGAGACCACATGAGCGTGATGACAGGCGGGCCAGAGGATAAGGAGACAAGGGTTAGATGGTCATTTTTCATGTCTTCTCCACGCTGGAAGGGTGAGCTGGCACGCCACGTCCAAGTGGCAAAAACAATATACTTTGAACTGTTTATATGGCGAATTTGTAATTGCCAAACTAATGTGGGCAACTGGATGAGTGCCTCTGGCGAGCATGGCAAAAATTTAAATTTCCCTAACATATGTACTATATCAATTGAATATGCGATACAAGAAGCCACTTACGGAGTAATAATTGTAAAGGCAGTGAACTTCAGAAAAAAATAATGCAAACACTCCAGAGACAAAAACCCTATCATTTTACAGTAGTATTAACAACACAATACAAATTCACTAGTCCTGTCAAGGTATACATTTACACTGCTGCACAAAGGAAATATAGGGGTTACTCCGTAATAGAGTATGTGCAGAAAGATGATTGAAATAGAACAAACATAGCAAATTCCTATATAGAAAGGTCTTGACTTTATATTGAGCACTTCTTGTTTGTTGGTTCTGCATTTACTCTGTTTGCGGTATAGTGGATTTGAAAAGGTACGCATGGCTGCAGTTCAGAATTCAGATTATCATCACGGGGAGAAGAGAGCTCCAGAGTCATCTGATGAGGGCTGCAGTGCATTGATCTTAATAACATATTTCTTCCGAGGGGATGTGCTGCTGCCCTTGGAGCTCATGTCCAAGTCATCTGAACCCTGGCACAAGGTGGGATCCTCATCTTCATAAGCATTACCAATATGACCACTGCACTTCCGGCAGAGCAATCGCGTCCTATTTCTGAAGAATCCCCATGAGCGGCTTGAATGGAAGTATGGCATGCAGCTCACCTCGTCAGTATGTGTAAAGCGGCTCTCATCGATTGCAAAGAATGAGACAACGCCTTTCCTGATGTGCTTGCCATACTTGGATCCAATGTTCGCCGTGTTCCGTGCGGAGGAGCTCAAGTTTAATGCATAGCCACAGTATCCACAGCTGACAGTGAGAAAGAGTAAAATCATCACCAAATTGACCAACATGTTCTGGGAATTGAAACTACAATACCGCGCTTGTATGCCTAAATTATGCACTAACATTTGTTTGTCTGCACTAAGCATCAGGACCCAATGTTCATGAGCCCGCATTAATTTTCCACTCATTATCACATTCAGTTACTTTCCCTGGTTCAAGCGCTTCAACAGGTCATAATATACTGCAATTACTTGGGCTCCAGTTCCTCTCGCAGCACATAGGTGATGACATCTTTTGAATAACGAACCCGACAATGGATTCAGTGTGGTTGATCGAATTTGTGTGCTCTTTTATCGATGAGCACACAAATTCGTAAGCAAGCAACACCAACTAAAACCAAATGAGTAAAGATCTACTACTAGTAACTATCATCACCTGAAGCCAATAACTTGACTCTCAGATTCAATCCCCGAGTACACCCAGCAGGAATGGTATTTGCCAGATAAAAACTACGCTTCGGGGCCAAAAATCAGGTGAAAACACCAGCTGAATGGGAAGAAGCCACTTCCTGGAAACAGGGAAAAAGCTAGTACTATCTAGGAACTAATCAAAGAACTATCCTACTCCAAAGAACTATCCTACAAGCCCAAGGGAAGGGTTTGCTTCTTGGCCCGAGCATACTAGAGAGAGCAGCCAGCCGGGGGCGAACCTGTAGGCGACATCCTTGCCGGAGGAGTAGCGGTCGAGGGCCCTCACCATGCTCGCCCTCCGCTCGGCTGATCAACACCCCCCGGTGATTGCTTGGCTTGGCCAGAGCAGTGAGGGAGGAAGGCGTCTGATTTGGGATGCCGAGCCGCCAACGGTCAAGGCGGATTCGGCGTCCGCGGGCCGTGCGCTGGCTCGGCCTTCCCCCTTCTTTTTTTCTTCCCTTCTTCGCAAGGAAAAATAAGAGAAGACGTCCGACGCGGCAGCAGCTGGTCTCGCGTTGACCGCAGCGGCGGTGCCGTGATTTCTGCCCTGTTCGTGATTGCGATCGTCTCGGATCCATGAAGGCGCGAACGATGATGATGGCAACTCGTTCGCTGTACGTGTCCGCGAATGGGCCACAGGGCCAATGTGTTCATTCGTGACGTTGAAGTGGACTGAACGTGAGCATGGAGGAACAGTGTTTTCAGTTAGATGTTCAAGGACACGTGTCAGTGTCACTATATTAAAGATGGACCAGCCTAATCATAGAGCCCAGCTAGACGAGGTGGACGGCAAATGACCCCCACTTGATGCGATCACCGGATTGTTCCTGTAACGGGGATGGTGATGGGGATGCTGTTTTTCTTTGTTTTTTTTTTCTTTTCCCTTTTTTTTCCCCACGAGGACCTGTGAGTAAAGAGAAATTGTGGATATCGAAGTAGAAGTAAAGCAAGCAAGCTCCACTTCCTTCACATTTTTGGCTCAAAACGGACTACTACTCCATGCGACTCTATAAGATTTAGGTTGGAAACAATGTTTAAAAAAACTAACATACCCTATGAAAGACACTAGAGCACAACACTTGCGCCTATGATTTCAAGTTAGATCATACAGTGCAGCTTCCTGCATGTCCGGAAGTTCAGGATGTTGGCTCCTAAGTGCTGGACCTAGGAGGTGTTTGTTCACTCCTCGCCTCTTAAATCTAGTCTTATTTAGTCATTTTTATCCAAACACTATAATTAAATTGGACTAAAAAGTACATTAGCCAACTAGTCATCCAAATGTTACTAAATAGGACTAAAGCCCACATTTTAGTCAGTCTGCCTCACATTTTAGTCACTTTGGATCCAAACACCCTAACTAAAAGGGACTAAAATGTCTCTTTTAGCCCACCAAACCAAACAGAAGGTGACTAAATTTTAGCAGCTGATTTAGATGACTAAACTTTAGGAGGTGTGAACCAAACATGCCCTTAAAAAGTCTGACCAAAGTTCACAATTTGACTGGGGTTTGAAAGGTTGACCACTTTTGGACATGTTCGGAACTTTCGGACATGACTGAGTAACGATCAGAATGTGGAGAAGGGATATAAATATCACTCCCTCTTCTTCTCCAACGATCAACCCTCCATTATTGTCACCTAAGTAAGTTAGACAAGAGCATATTGGAGCATTCATTCGATCATTTCCCTCTACCCTCACTTCTCTAAGGTTCCTTTAGGAGATTTGGTGAAGGAGTGAGAGCAAGTCAAATCCATCTCTTGGGCACTAGTTTTATTTATTTTTTTTTTTTTTTTGCTAAGCCATTAGATTTGTGTTTGTTACTCTTGGAAAGTTCCCCCAAGATAGTCGTGCGTCGCTTGTGAAGCTTCCAAAGTTCTGTGATGTAGCTCTGGGGAGGTTTGTATTACCTTAGCTTCCAATGGATTTCTTGAGTTTGACCTCAATGGCTCAATGGTCACTTAACAAGAAGATTCTAGCTACCATGTATTACCCCGTTTCAAAACATAAGAGTTAACCTAAGTCAAATTTCATCTAATTCGACAAAAGTTTAGAAGAAGAAAAATTAATATCTGTAATAACTAAATAAGTACACCGGCAATATATTTCATGGTGCATTTATTGTAGAATTTATCAAAGTTATATAATTTTTTTGCAGGTCTATAATAACCAGATAAGTACATTGGCAATATATTTCATGGTGCGTTTATTGTAGACTTTATCAAAGTTATATTTTTTTTTACGAAAAAGGTTATAGAATTTGACTTAGCATAAAAAGAATAAATCCATCATTTTTTTACGAGAAAGAGCAGTAAACTAGGACCTTGAATGCTTGGAAGTCGGAAGGAGAGTTTCAGCAAGAAACCCAAAGTACACTAACTATTCTTTACCTAGCTCATGGGAAGTTCTTGCGTTTGTAAGAGAACTTATTCGTCGTTTAGTTCTTTTATAATTTAGTCCCAAGGTACCCTCTTGTAAATTTGTAATACAAAGAATCTTTTGCCCTTTGTAATTGCACAAGCGTGGAGATCTGAGGAACTGAAAGTCGCTGACGTGTGTGCTCACTCGCCCATTGGACTCGCGTGTGTTATTCTGAATTTCTTTTTTTTTTATTACTGTGGAGTTCCGGAGCGCACATGCCTTTTAAGTTTTTATTATCCCCTAGCCTACAAATTCGACTATTCAATTTTATAAGACCTGTTTCAATAGAATTTTACGAAAGTTTCATTATCAATTTAGCAAATATATTGACATGACACAATATATTAATGACGATAGCTGGTCACAATTTCATGGGACAAAATAAGTTTTATGAAGATGAAATTATTCCACACTATTTCTAACACATAGAAATATTAGAAACTAGAATATGAAACCAGACAGGCTTAAGATTGTCCCTGTCACATCGGACGGACTAAACATGAATTAATTATAAAACTAATTATACATATGAAGACTAATTTGCGACACGAATCTATTAAGCTTAATTAATCTATCATTAGCATATGTTATTGTAGCACCACATTATCAAATCATGGACTAATTAGAACTAATAGATTCGTCTCGCAAATTAGTCTCCATCTGTATAATTATTTTTGTAATTAGTCTATAGTTGATACTCTAAATTAGTTTTAAACATCCGATGTGACATGGACTGCACTTTAATCCGAGGTATCAAAGACCCCCTTAATATACTTAATTTATTCTTTTAAGTTTCACCCTACTACTAGTAGAATGTCATCTATACGTATTCCGCACTAGGCGGTATTTTGTCGGTTTACCTTTTTTTTTTGAAATATTTTTGTCGTCACAGATTTCACGTCCTGGCAAGGAAACCTGCCCACACAAAGGAAAGACAGACCAAGCAACCCCTCTATGATTGCTTCCTCCCCGTTCCGTCCTCCCGGCTAAAGTCTCCGACTCCGGAGAGATGGCGGCGGCGACGGAGGTGGCGCCAGTTCAGCAGCGGAGCCATGCGGCGGCAGGGTGGAGGGTGGTGGCGGGGTGGCTCGGCCTGCTCTTCCAGATCCTGCTCCGGATCATCCGCAGCACGCCCTCCTCCTGGGCGCAGCTCCTCTCCTTCGTGGGCCTGCGCCACCCGCTCCTCCCAGTCGCCGCGTCGCCTGAGGTGGCCTTCGTGCAGCTCCCATCCGAGGCCCCTGCTGACGCGTCGCCTCCGCCGCTCCGGCGGCTCACGGTACGGACCTCCATGCCTTCGGCTTGCTGGAACGCGAAATGATGGTGACTTTTGTAGTTTGGACCTTTGGAGGGCCATGGATCAGTTGGAAATTGGAACTATGGGGTTATTCGTAATAACGTAGTGCTGATTAAAGGGATATATGCTTCTGTAGCTGGACTCATGGGGCGCGGGCGATATCCAATGTAATAAAAACTGAAAACTATAGTGATCATTCCGCAGGCTTCCATCTAGTTTATTTTTTAGCTCTGGTGGTCTGGTGGCCGGTGGGTGGTATGATTTCCAGTTTCTAGGCATGACTCCTAAGTCCTAATTGAGTAATTGACTGCTTAGTACTAACATGATTCTCGGCTATAATTTTGACATTTGCTTTCTATCTGCCTTTCTTAGTTATGGCTATTAAGTCTACTTTAATGAACTCACTGTGATACTTGCACAATCTGCAGGTGGTGCTTGACTTGGATGAGACTTTAGTTTGCGGCGTCTGAGTCCTCGAGCCTTCCTGCTACTCTGCACACACAGGCTGTTGAAGCAGGATTGCATTGCTTTGACATGGAATGCGAATCGGCTGAAAAGGCAAGTAAACTGCAGTGTTGTGCATTTGCCTTATCTATTGCTGTTTTCAGTATACTTCTTAGAAAGGTACTTACAGAAGTATGTTTCGTGGTTTACAGGATCCTGATGGAAGGCAGAGGATAAATCGTGTAACTGTCTTTGAGCGTCCCTGGCTTACATGAATTTTTGCAGCTTAACTAGCGAATTTGCTGATCTTGTTCTCTTTACAGCTGGTTTGGAAGGTTTGATCTCCTCAACTATTTTTTTTTTCTTTTTGACAACAAAAGGCAAGTTGATTTCACCTTATGCCACTGCCACTGATCTGTGCTCTATCCAGGCTATGCAAAACCTCTAGTTGACAGGATAGATGCTCACAACAGATTCACTCACCGTCTCTATCGGCCATCAACTGTTACTACGTAAGTTGTCATTGGCATTTCCATAAGCTATTAGTGATGGGCTATTATATTCTCAAGGTTTCTTGCTCATAAAAACTCAACTGCTTTCAGTTGGAGGCTAAGGCCCTGTTTGGCACATTGGTATAGCTTATAAGCTACTTATGACCAAAATAAGCTGAAACTTGTAGCCAAAACGGCATTGCTTTTCTGTAGCTTATTCTAGGCACACTTACTCACACTTATTCTAGCCAAAACGGCATTTATACTAAAAAGTAGAAGCTAGGTCAGACCTGCTTAGAAAGTGCTTTCCAGAGGAAGATGTACCAAACAAGGCCTAAGTCTCAAATAGAAATTTTCATCTCAAGTGTTTCATCAACAGCATATTAGCATGCAGCCCTCTGTTCAGTCCGATTGGGCAGATTTTTTTTTTCTCGAACTACGCAGGAGAGCTGCGAGTCATTTCATTAAGATAGAAAAGAAAGTACATAGAGAGGGGGAGAGCCCCCAGACTAAGTACCAAACACACCCCCACACTTACAAAACACTACACACCCAAAACAAGGAAAGACCTGACCATAGAGCACCAAACCTAAGATGGTGCTACAAGCGACCTGGCAAGCAGCTCTTTGAGCTTAGAAGCTCCAGCCAAGCACCACAGGGTGCTTTCATTTGTTATGGCCTGCAGGAGCACCTGGGAGTTAGGGAGAACACCTTCAAACACGCAAGAATTTCTATGTTTCCAAATCTCCCAAGCCACCAAAATGATGAGCGAATTTAAACCCTTTCGCCACTGATTTGGAGCAGCTCTAATGACTTTGCCCCACCAAGCTGAAAAGGTAGAGGAGTTTACCGGCACATCAACTACCAGATTGAGATGTGAGAAGACCAAAATCCAAATTTGTCTAGTAAAAACACAAGACAACAGCAGGTGGGGGGCTGTTTCCTGCGCTTGGTCACAGAACAGACATGCCGGGGGGGTGCTGCAGGCCCCTCCTGGCCAGCCGGTCAGCAGTCCATAACCGCTGTTTAATAGCCAGCCAGACAAAGAACTTGCAGCGTAAGGGAGCCCAACTTTTCCAGATTCTTTTCCATGGGATAAACTTTATTGAGCCAACGAAAAGGGCTTCATATGCTGACTTGCTGGTGTAGATTCCAGATTGGGTCAGCTTCCAGCGGTGTTGATCCGGGGTATCCTGATTTAGATGGACACCATCTAACTGATCCCAAAGTAACAGGTACTCCATCAGGACCTCCACTGAGAGGCCTCCTCTAATATCTGAAACCCAGTGCCTGTTGGAGAGGGCCTGTGCCACTGTTCTAGATTTGACAACTTTCTTAGGAATAGTCTGAAACAGATTAGGAGCAATTTCAGCCAAAGTTTTTCCTTCCAACCATCTGTCTTTCCAGAATAGGATTGTTTCCCCGTTTCCAACAACCGAGACCACTGCCATGTTAAATAAGGCTTGAGGCTTTTGGGGTACCTGGATATGAAGACCAGCCCAAGGACGAGAATGATCTGTTTTTTGAGCCCAAAGCCATCTAATCCGCAATGCCCAACCAAAGGACTCAATGTTGTGTATGCCTAGACCTCCATATTCCAAAGGGCGTTGTACCTTTTCCCATGAGACCAGGCAATTTCCACCATTTGCCTGTTCTTGTCCTTTCCAAAGGAAACCCCGCCGTTTTTTGTCAATAGCTTTGATAACCCATTTGGGCAGGTCAGATTGGGCAGATTTAGTTCACAGATTGGGCAGATTTAGTTCACCTTTTATTTTATTTTTTTATTTGCTGCTGACTTCACTACCTTATGTAGTTATTTTCTTGTTCATAACCACTTTATGTGAACTGCAAATCTGGTTTACTGATGTTTCGGTGAAACTTCATATCATGTTGATTGGACAAAATACTTCATTTCAATGAGAAAGTAAGTCCTTTGTTGCATTAACCGAGCTGGTTCAGTCTTCTGATAATGTATATTTATAATTTCAGGGAATACAGAGAGCATGTAAAAGATCTTTCTTGTTTGTCCAAAGATTTCCAGAGAATTGTCCTTGTTGATAACAATCCATACAGTTTCTTACTGCAACCATTGAATGGAATACCATGTATAACATTTTCAGCTGGACAACCTGTTGACGATCAGGTAAAACTGGCTACGTACATAAATAATTCTTTGGTTCGACAGTTACAGTCTTTAGTGTTACTGATCCGTTTGCATGTTCTGACATTTTAGCTTATGGGAACGATATTTCCGCTTCTCGAGCACCTTGCTCTGCAAAAAGATGTTAGACCTGCATTGTATGAAACGTTTCACATGCCAGAGTGGTTTCAAAGACAAGGAATCCCACAAATTGAACAGGCACTTTAGGAATTGCTGCCACCACGGATTGGATTATGGAAAGGCTCAAAACCTGCTATTGTACAGTAGCATAGATACACGAATACCTTCTTCACATGTTTGAAGGGAGGGAAAGAGATAAAAAGGAATTGTAATTTAGCGCAATGATAGATCTCTATTTGTGACGTGAATCTTGTTTTATGGTTGTATAGCGCTTATTTCTGTTTTGTAAAACAGTCTGCACCTCAACGATCGCTTTATACCCACTCGCCCTGCATTCAGATATAGCAAACACCCATGAAGGTGCCACAGTGACTGCTTGGGAGTGATTGCTGGCAGTGGCAGCGCTTCGCCTGCTGCAGCTGCAACCAAGCAATCCGAGCAAGCCTAGCTCCGTTGCCCCCCGAAGGTGGGTCCGTAGACGGCAATGTCTGAGCAAGCCTAGCTCCGTTGCCCCCCGAAGGTGGGTCCGTAGACGCCAATGTCTGCTGCAACCAAGCAAGCAATTCGAGCAAGCCTAGCTGAATTCACGTGAAAAAAATGTCCTGGAAATCATGAAATAATGATTGGTGGCACTACATGTACATCATATGTATAACGATAGTCGCCCTGTTCGTTTGGGCTGGCTTGGCTTATAAGTCATGGCTGAAAGTACTGTTGGCTGGTTTGATGTGAGAGAAAAATATTGTTCATTGGCTGATAAGTCATGGCTTATAAGCCAAATACGACCCAGCGAACAGGCTGCGTATATTTTTTGCACGGTCCATCTTCTTTCCTAAATTAACTTTCATGACAGGCCTCTTTGTTAGTACATCTTTGCAACTTGTCACCAATGGATTTTAGCGGAACCTTGGAACATAGCACGTGAAGGAATACAATTAAAATGATGATTGTGTGACTATTCAAACTTGAACACAAGAATTTGGTCAATTATTTGATGAATTAGATAAAGTGTGTCATAGGTCAAGAACCAGAAATTCGGTTGAGAACACATAAAATGCATCAGATTAAATGTCAAAGGTAAATCTATGAATTCCATTTGCTATACCATGAGTTGGATAAACATCGTAGTACATGGCAACTGTACAAAAAAGAAGCAACTTTTCTCATATTTACATGCACGAACTAGCGTGTATAGACGATTGATTCACCTTGCAAAACAGGGTTTTCAATGCCAAGTGTTGACCTAAAAAAAACCACGAAGCCAAATCCTGTTGCAAAAGGAAATATGCTGTTTCAGGAGCCAGTAGCTTCAGAATGTGTAGCCTACTTGTCAGGAACGACTTTGATTGGCCGTTGAACTATATTTGAACGAAAGCCATCGGTGTTGCAATGCTTCGCTGGCCGTTGGTCTCTTTCTGGGATTTATTTGCAGCAGGTAAGACAGAAAATCAACAAATTTCTTGTCTGGGCACTGCAAGTGGCGCCGCAAAGAAGATTTCTCTGGGATCAAATACTCCAACTGATCTGTCTCCTATTTTTTTAGCAGGAAATGGAATAGGAAAAATAAGCACTCAGTGCTGCATGAAAATTGCACAAAGAACAAACAACTAAAATTCTTATGCCAAAGATTCCATGGTGACAACAAACTATCGCCTTTAAAGACAAGTGTATGGCTAAATTGTCTTCTGCACCTTAACTATGCACGGATGGAGTACAACTAACTAAATAACAGGTGGATATTAATACATATTGACAACGGACCAAGATAGAAGTAAATAGCTACATGTTCGATTGGGTATTATGTATCAAACCTGCACATACAGACCAGATTATTAGCAGATGGCGTACAATTGAGAAGAAACATTTTTTTTGAACAAATTGAGACTTCTATCGAACAGTAACTTGTTGCTATTGGTATTGTTACTTAGTACATCAGGTATTTGAGCTATCAGCTTTTACTTCTGCACTACTCAAGGTGTTGTATATGGCATAAGAAAATTTAGAATAAGTGCTTCAGCATAAATAAGCCTCTATTATTACAAAGTAATTGTACAACTGGTGGAATTTACCATTCCACTCATGTGGTTTTCAGGTCATCATGCAAAATCAACACGAACAACATCACCGATCTGTTGTCAACTACAGTGCATATTGAAACAAAGTTATGTTGATAATCTTGCATATGATCCAACAATTACCTCATTCTTGTGGAAAAGGTCATAGTCATCTGTGAAGTACTTCTGGGTCTCCTGTCCTGATGCAAGCATTTCCATATCAATTGGACCAATTGTCCCAATCATACGAGCAAGAATGATTGGTACTGATTCATTAGGAAAGAGCACCTGTGACATGTCAAAGGGGCCGCAATCACATATATGATTTCTTTCAGAAAGCAGGAGAACATGGTAGCCAGTACTACTGTTAGTTTCAATAGACATGTTATCCTCAGTAAAAATAATACCAAGACAATGATTCCCATTATATGCAGTCTGAAATTGCAAGCATTTTTCAGATGTTTAGTAATATAAGCTTTTGAAACCACAGGAATAAAGCCACCACCCAAGGTTAGAGTCTCCTTCAACTCGAATTTGGGTGTCCATTTCTTATTAATGCAATGCCACCTAAGGTTCAACCAACACGTGAAGCACCTACAGAGTTCCTGCATCTATTGATTTCCTCTGGATGAAATGGGTAACAAAACAAGGTAAAACAACGTAATGAGAACCTCAAATGCCAACAGTTATTTACCAGAATAAATACCAACACAATGGCAAATCAGATTCTGTTGACAGTTATTTACCACAGTAGGGTGTCCCCCTACTGCTTTCGCTTGAAAACGGCAATATTTGCAAGCTGAGCTTAAAAGACATGCACAGATTTAACTGTCAGCACAACCTTATTTGTCATTTGTTTTTTCTTGAATCATTTCAGTTGGTTCACATGTCGAGAGTTCAATATAATACCAAACAAAATAGAGAATAGGAGATCAAGATATAAACTTACTTCACCAGTGTACAGTTCAGCTAAGATGCAGCCAAGAGACCAAATGTCAATTTTCTGATCATATGGCAAACCCAGGATGACCTCAGGAGATCGGTAAGAACGTGATTGGACATATAGGTTTAAGTTGTCTGACAAGAAGCAGCTGCTTCCAAGATCAATAACTTTGATTTCACATCTGCCGTAGCTCTTCAGAAGGATATTCTCTGGTTTCAGGTCACAATGAACTATGTTTAGATGATGCAAATACACCAAAGCCTCCAAGCATTGTCGAGCTATAGCCTGAAAGCAAGACAAAAGGCTCTTATTTCAGCAGGCCTTATTTGTTTCCACCTAATAAAATTTAATCACACTTAAAGTATTCATTCCAACCTTTTAAAATATATTGAGGTATAGATGGTCAACAAATATAAGAAAGAACTTTATTTTACAGAAGCTGGGTAATACAGGGGCAGCTGTAAATGCCTTTTCTGATTACTTCAATTAAAGTTAACTGATCCATATGACAGCTGTAAGGAGTGATTTGATCACAAAACAGTTGTATATACCTGTATTCTGGGCAATGAAAAGTACACCTCATCACCAGACTCCTGGTTATATTTCTGAAACTCATAAAGATTCGCACGTAGTAATTCAGTGACAATGAAGAGATGTTCCTGTCGAATTGTTTCACCGTCAGCATTTTGCAAGTTCAAAAATGAGCTTGGACAAATATCAAACAGGTAAATTATTGAAGTAAACGTCACAAACAGGAAACCTGTATCTTTATTTTTTAATGGATCCTTAGGACTTGGAATGAATGACCTCCTTAAGAGCAATATGACTGTTCACTGAATAAGTGAATATGTGCATCACGCACCTGATAGTAAAAATAATCATAGAGACGCAGTATATGATGGTCATCATCTGGATCATATTTATTGACAAACTTGAGAAGCTTTATCTCATCCAAACTCTGGTCAAAGAAATCCTTGTCATTTGTTATTATTTTAAGGCATACATCAACTCCAGTGCGAAGGTCGTGTGCCCGTACAACCTTGCTGAATGCAGCAGAACCAAGATACTCAGTGACACGATATCTTCCAGCTATAACTGAATCCATGACAATAGGGAATTCTTTGTTTTCCTCAAAGCCAGTCCTGCAGTGAACATCTATACCATGAGCACAATATCCTTATAAGTATTTGGCAGCAGAAGAAAATAAGAAAGGTTTCTGAGGGTGAACCTGTTCTTCCGGTGGAAAATTTTCAGGTCAAATACCTCATACTCCTGCTGAAACTTAGAGAGTACAGGATCAACTTTTGGGTCTTCCTGAAATTTGTGAGTAGTAGAGTTCTGAATATCCGTATCTGCAGTCTTGAAATCTTCCACCCCATAAACATCAAAAGGGACTGCACTCTCAGGAAAAGGGTGTATGCAGTAGCTATCTTTTAGAAATTCTTTGCCATCAGCATTTTCCTCATTTGTTACCATACAAACATCTAGGTCGTCATTTCCTATTAAGTCATTTTCAAGCCCACTATCTGCAAAAGATAACTAGAGTTAAAAACGAAATAATTTAATCAAGGAAAAAATATCCTTGAGGTTAGATGGGTGAACGATGAATTCCAGATAAAGGCATATGGATATAGGCTAAGAAGCAAAATTAATTTCATCATTGACATGTGGAACTAGATTCAAGCTTGCTTTGTTGCAGTTATACCCACTGGTGCAGAATTTTAGCAGCAACTCTAAACTCAGTTCACCATCACAAACATTGAACTTGATGCCAATAAAATTTAGGATATATTCTGAGAAAAGGCATTTGTGTGAAGCAAATGGTAGCCAAGGATTAGCACAAATTCCAATTACAATGTCATGAGTTCAGTTCCATCTAAATTAGCAACAGAAATGCGAGAAATGAAACTGAGAAAAAAGGAAAGAGGTCATAACTACTTACTCTCAAGAGCATCTGCATCAGCCAAGTACGGAGTAAGCATTTCAAGTTCCTTCTCCAGAGCACTAAGACCCAACCCGTCGTCCTCTCCTTTCTTGAAATCCACTAACAGATCGCCAGCATCAACAAACACATTCAGCCTGAACCGGAACGCTTCTGCGACACACTCGTCAAGCCCCTCCGTGTGGTCCTCCGTGATCTGATACCTCCCATAAACAGCGGAGCAAGAATCTCTCACCAACTCCGCATTATAGCAGCAACCGCAAGGTGACGACGAGCAAGCATTCACCTCTGCGCACCCATCAGTGTCCGCCCTGCGGCCTCTATGCACGTACCCGCGACCGCAGCCATCGCCAAGCTCCCGCATCTCACTCCGCTGCAAGCTGACGTCAGGACCAACAATGAACTTGTCCTCCCCTTCGCTGCCATCGCTCTCCGGCTTGCTGTAGAACAGGTGGTTGTCGTAGAGCCAGTCGTCACTGAAGAACGGATCAGTGGTGTCGTACTCGCGGGCCGTCCCGAACTCCATCTCCGACGAGGACGCCTCCGACGGCGCGCGAGATGGCGACCATAGCCCGCCGCACGGATTCAGCATACCTGATCCCCACGGGGAGGGAGCAGCGGAGACAAGCATGACCGACCAAAATTAGGATCAGAAGTAAACAAAGTTAGAGCAAGCAGCCAAGCAATCACGCGAGGTATCGAGATTGCCGATTGGGGGCGGTGTCAATGAGGCCGGCTTGTACGCATTGGGGGAAAAAACACTGCCGCAAGCAAGCACGCGGTACCTGAGGGCGTGGAACGCATGCTGACGAAGGTATCAGAGGAGGAGCTGGAGCGTGGGCTGGCGATCGCGCCCCGCCGCCGCACGAGGCTCGCAGCCGCAGCGGCGGGAGCTGGGGGTCATCGAATCCAGGCGCCGACATGGCTGGGTGCGAGCCGACGTTCCGCGTGCGCCCGGGTCAAGGTCGCGGTCGCTCAGCCTGCACCGGCTCTATTCTCTATCATTTTAAGCGAAGCGAGGGCAAAGCAAGCGGGCTGGCCGACGCAGGCACACAGCGGCAGCTACAATGACGGGGACGCTGACGCACCGAGGACGGGCGAGGCGAGGCGGCGGGGCACGGGATCCAACAGCCGCCGCGCCCGGCGGGCGACGCACAACAACTCTTCTAGAGTGTGTGTGCGTGTAGCTCTGACGTCTGGGGCCCGCGCCGCCCCCAGAGGCCAGAGGCGCAGGCGGCAGACAGGCCCAGCCGTCGGCGTCCGCGCGGGGATGCGGCATGCGGGGCGTCGCTGTCGCGTGGCGACTGGCGATGCAGATGCGGTGGGTGGTCGGGGAGGTGGGGGAGTGGACTCCGATGTGGAAGTGCCGCCATTATTGTCGGTGGCTGCCGCGCGGGCCCGCAACACACCTGGACGCCGTCCTCCTTGCGGCTCTGCTTCGCTGGGAGAAGTGGGGATTCTCTGTGCTGCGCCTGCCGGGCCGGACCGGCGGCGTCCCCGTGAGTACACCGTGACAGACAAATGTTACGCGTCAGATCAGATCAGATCCCAACAACAGAAGGGGACACGGACATCAGATCTGCCAAGGGAGGCCGCTTCGTACCTGTCTCTACGTATAAGAACGCATCGCGCATCGTAAACACGCATGCAATCGCTCACAAAAAGAATTCAAATGACTTCGATTGGTGGCCGACTGCTGTGGTGAGTTTCAATCTGAATCAAACAAATTCATGTGGCGAGTTACGATATCGCGGTCGGCGTCAGCTATGGGTGCTCCTCGTTTCTGACCTCAGAGAAGACTGCGAGAGCGAGATCGGAACTACAAATTGGGTCGCTGGGTGAAGCGCCGCAAAGGATTGGCCGCACCCTGACGAAGCCCTAGGCAATTTCGTTGTCACGGTGGTTAGAGTCTAGCGGATAAAGCACCCCTTTCTCTTTGTCATCGAACTTCTAAAACTAGCTACAATATAAGGTGGATGCAATTTAGTTGGCAGCGTACAGGGCTCATACCAGAAAAGGTGATCAGAATAAGATGGATGAACAGGCAAACAGTTCGCTCGGTACCACATGGCACATCCGATCATGTGATTTCTTTATCGCCTGATGAAGCAATTAATGGTATTTTGGTAGATCTGGCTAGCGTTAGGTACTGCTCCTACTCCAGCAATCCCAAACTCGTTGGAATTGGAAATGGAAAAGAAAGGCGTACAGTAGTTGACAGACCACGTCTGACTCGTGCAGCATCGTTGTGTCTTCCCGGGCCATTGCCTGAAAAGCAAACGCCCGAGACCTGACACGCTCCAATCGGCATGCTGTTTTTGTAGCAGTATTTTTAAGCAACATTTGCACGCGAATCACGGCTTACATGGTGCTCTCGAGTAATGGTAATTCAAGTCGTTTTGACAAGACTTAAATCAAAAGATTATAAATCATAAATAACTTCTAAGACCGTGTCACTGTCCAAAACAACTTTAGTATGGAAGGAGTACTCCTGATTTTGGGTAACTTTTAAGACTGTGTCATTGTCCAAAACAACTTAAATAACTTTTAAGCGAGATTATCCTAATTTTGATCATGTTATTTAATGTAGTAAATAACAATATAATTCTCTATAAACTTAGTCAAACTTAAAAGGTTGAAATAGCTCCCACTACAATAGCTGGTTCAGGAGGAGCCATAACCACTAGAAGCCCTGCTAAACAGGTCCTTAAAATAAACTTTGACCTCTTTGTATTTTACTATATTCTCTCTCTGCTCCAAATTACAAGTCGCTTTTAACTTTTTTGGTTTTTGCTATACATATAGATATGATAATATGTCTAAATACATAGTAAAATAGATTAAATAAAAAAGTTAAAGCGATTTATAATTTAGAAACGGATGGAGTAGGATAGAATGGAATACTCCGTAATCTGTTCGAGTACTTGCCTTTTTTTTTTTAAGGAAGGAAGTACTTGCCATCTTTAGTTTTCTGTTTTCTAACAAAGAACGGGGCAACTAACAAGTGATGTCCCAACCCCGTATATGTGAACTCGAGTTTCAGTTTAAGCTTCAGCAAACACCTTTGGCAGTCTTAAAAGTCAGTCCTACTGCTGAAAAGGAACCCACTACTCAAACTAGCTTTACACCTACATAAGATAAATCAGCTAGCCCTTCATCATTTGCTCTTCAGCTGTTGTAAAACTGTCATAGTTACTCTTTATCGCTTTATAAGTGCAAATGAATCTAGGGTGACAGTACACGGTACCAGCAAATTGCATTTGAGGTCAACACCAAAACATTTTACAACACTTTGTGCGTCAGGTACACCGGAGGAGATGGGCAGACAGGCAGGCGTGCATCCTTCAAGCAGATGCTCCTCGGCGATACTGAAAAGGCTACAAATAATTACATGAGTAAACCAATCAGGGAGGCTCCAACTATCTAAATGCCAGACAAAATAACCATTAGCAAATGGAAGAGGGTTTCTGCTTAGTGGGCCTGAGGGGCAGACTACAATGCGTGGAGAAGAGCATCGGCCGCAAGCTGCAGCCTCATTCGCTACCCAGTTTTACAGACCCATCTTTTATAAGCTTTATGCTAAGGCTATTGAAGCGCCCTCTTGAATAATGCCGCGATGCCTTTCTCCAATCTGTGCCAGTTTTCATCATCGCTACAAATTCTTCATAACTAATTTTACCATCCTGCAGAAACAATGAAAGTTATTATGACTTCAAATAATGAATAAGATTTGAAGGCAGAACCGCAGAAGCTATCTCAGGGGCCTTTTCGGTGAATCATTAACCTTATCCGTGTCAACTTCTTGCAATATGTCATTGACCACGTCCATGGTATCGCCTCCCCCATCCTCCATCAGGGCTTCCTGAAGCTCCTCAGGCTCAATGAAACCATTGCCATCCTTGTCGAAAAATAGGAAGGCCCGCCGAAGGTGCTCATCATTTGCCATCCTTTGTAAATGAAGTGAGACAGCCAAAATTCACCATAATCTAGTGCGCCTCTACCATTTGTATCCACCTATTATTCCAAACACAAAGATATGATAGCAATCAGCACCTGCTTCTTGTTAATAACAGCTGAAGCCAACCATGTCACCTAGTTCTCAAATTGACACTCACATAGCAAAAAATGGCCTTTATATGAATCTAAGCAACCAAGGGAAAAATTAAAGGTGTAAGTAAATTCTAAACAAAAAAATAGTTCAATGGCATGTCACCTACGAGGCCCTATATTTCTCAGCTTTCAAGAAACATACAAATTGAGTAGAACAAACAAGTCCTTCAGGGAAATGGGAGTAAATGTTTCATTGTGTGTATAATGCCACATTGACAACCTCCATATTCTCCAGGACCAAGTACCAAGCACCACCTAGTGCAACTATAACTAAATTGCTGGGTTCCATGGAACACTAACACTAACAATCCAACATATTAGACATCAATGGTAGCAGAAATCATGTGATTCAGATCAATTACAACTGGCGATACTGACTCAATCAATTAAACAAAACATACTTACAGCTTCGATAAGCATTTGCACTTCTGATTCTGCAAGATGAGAACCAAATTTTGCGATCCCACTCTTTAACTCTTCATAAGAAACTATACCATCATTATCAGTATCCATCACCTTGAACATCTCCTTTATGTCCTCAACCTCTTCAGCCGACAAGTGATCAGCAATAACCTAGTCAAGAACCAGTTTGTCAGTAAAGCAAATTGTTTCCATGGTAGCTAGAAAAAGGATGCACTCAAACACACTAGATGACAAAGAAAGGTTTCAACCCTTAGAGCTCTTCTTTGAATCTGTTCATCCTTGAAAACTGTTTCAGCCTTGACTTTACAATGTCTCCAAGAGGAACGCTTTGGAGCTTTCTTAGCATTTTGAAGCCAGGGATGCTCTGTTATAACAGAAACAAAGAAAGGGCATGAGCGCTATATAACGAGAAGTCAGAACTTTAGAGATCTACCTGAACCGCCGCCCCAAAAAAAAAGGGGGGGTTGCTAGGTATGGACTTTGAACATTATCTATGATGTACACAGCGTGAAAACTTAAATAGCTATTGGTTACAATCCAAGATCCTAAGAAATAAAAGCATGTAGCTCAATATTTGAAGCATAAAATAGCAAAAAATTGAACAAACTTGGTGGTATCTAATTCATTCAAGTGATCGGTATGTATAGAAGTGCAGAAAATGGTATTCTCCCAATTGCTAAAACAATATCAATCATCTCCTTTTTTTAATAAACAACAAGCTTCTTTTACCAGCTTTGCCTTTTGAGAATGAATACATCTGCAAGTAACTGCCACCTGGAAGTTGCCATGAGGTGCAATAAGAAAACACGTCTAACTCCAAAGACTGTCTAGAAGAGCTACAGAAAAGCATTTACTTCCACTTTTAACTTCAGCTTTGATCCATCATGTTTTTGTTGTCACTAATCAATTTTACAATCATAGCATTACGTAACTGTACCTAGCCAGATTACCTAAGCAAGTAGTTAACACACTTGGAAGCTAAAAAAGTGGCACAAACTATAGTTGCACCAACTTCTAACAAGGATACCAAGTAGATCCTGCAGAAGTTGCACCAACTACACTTCCAAACTATGTTTGATCCATGTTACATGGACACCAGTGTGGTATCAGTGTCTGATTCGGTATCGGGGTCCGATTTGGCAGGATTTTTAGGGATCCTCCAAATGGCACTTGAATCCAAGTATCCAACATAGGTGTTGGGTATCTGACTAGGCAAAAAAAAATAGGACACGGGTGTCTGGGTAACACTGGTGTCAATCCTTCAACTGAACAGATCTGATGCAATGTGCCATACAATGAAGCACTATGAGTTAATAAGTTTGATACACAGATACAACCTACCAAGAACTTGCTTTGCTGTTAGCCTGAGCTTTGGATCAGGTTGAAGCATCTGCCGGATAAGATCTTTAGCATTATCTGAAACATTGGGCCAGGGTTCCCGCTTAAAATCTATATTCCCCGAAGAATAGCTTGTGCAACTCCTTGTTCAGTCTCTGCAATTATTACCTGGTAAGCTCATTTGCACAAAAGTAACGCTAAAGGACAAGATGTTCTCACAAATGAAATCCCTTTACCAGCCCAAAACGGAGGAACACCACATAACAAAATATACAAGATAACACCAGCGCTCCATATGTCTATTTCAGGTCCATAGTTCCTCTTCAAGACTTCAGGAGCCATGTAGTATGGACTTCCCACAATTTCCGAAAACTTTTCGCCTGGAAAGGAAAACAATGCTTTTATGAGTTTCAAACAATTATCATACAGACATTTATCAAAGGAAACAAAAAACACACACATCACAAAGCAAGTAAATTAAGTACATCAAATCATAACCAAATCCCAACACACCCACATTGTGGCTATATGTGGATGACAATTTACAGCAACTGCAAAAATAGTTGCATCACAGCCGAAGCAAGGGATCATTTGTTTAGGTGATATGGAGACAAGGAGTTACCCGTGAGTGCTGCTTTGGATACACCTGGCTAAAGTTTAGTCCCTGTCACATTGGATGTTTGGACACTAATTTAGAGTATTAAACATAGACTAATTACAAAACTAATTGCACAGACGGAGACTAATTTGCGAGACAAATCTATCAAGCCTAATTAGGCCATGATTTGACAATGTGGTGCTACAGTAAACATGTGCTACAGATGGATTAATTAAGCCTAATAGATTTGTCTCGCAAATTAGTCTCCATTTGTGCAATTAGTTTTATAATTAATTTATATTTAGTCCTAATTAGCACCCGAACGTCCGATGTGACAGAGACTAAACTTTAGTCCCTGGATCAAACACCCCCCTAAGATAGCTAATAAGTCCTAATGGAAGTTGCTTGAAACATACTCCTATATGCAAATTTGTATTTCAAAATATTGTTGTACATAATCTGAGTTTCCCAAAAACCTTACCTCAGTTGAACCTGAATAAGTACAACGCTATAGGCAAGTCGCTATGCTGGGAAACAGCTACGTGACGTGTGCTCCCACTAATTGTTTCCAAATTCTAAAAATAGCTGGCAGGCAGGGACTCAGCAAGCCAACATGTCAGCCTAGCTCCTTGATTCGAATCTCTGAGCTCACCGCACCGTCTGCAACAAAGCTAGCAAGAATGCATGTAGCAACAGCAAGGATAAGTGCTGTCATGTCCAGTACCACAAGTTGTTCCAAAAGGCAAATCCAAAGAAGTCCTAACGTTATAGTAGCAGATGAGGAAGTGCCTCAGATTGCGCAAGCATGAGAAAAGCAAGTGGCTACAGAAACGACCACTACAGATAATCCAGCCCAACTAGAACGGCGACCAACCCCACAGATCCAGCCTGAATCCACGAAAAGTCCAAAATTGCGGCCAGCGGTTCGCCCAAATCAGGGACGGATCTCGGTGGCCGGAGCTTACCGGGCTTGAAGAAGATGGAGAGGCCGAAGTCGATGGCCTTGAGCGGCGAGTTCTCCTTCTTGTTGGCGAAGAGGAAGTTCTCGGGCTTGAGGTCCCGGTGGATCACGCCGTGGCGGTGGCAGAGCTGCACGACCTCGACGATGGTGCGCGTGACCGCGGCCGCCGCGCGTTCCGTGTAGTGGCCCCTGGCGACGATGCGGTCGAACAGCTCCCCGCCCTCGCAGAGCTCCATGACGAGGTGCACGGCGCCGTCGTCCTCGCACGCCTCCCGCAGGGACACGATGCTGGCGCTCTTGGGCAGGTGCCGCATGATGGCCACCTCCCGCCGCACGTCCTCCACGTCCACGGGCGTCCGCAGCTTCCGCTTGGAGATGGACTTGCAGGCCAGCAGCTCCCGCGTGCCCCGGTCCATGCACAGGTACGTCACCCCGAACTCGCCGCGCCCGACCTCCCGGTCCAGCGCGTACTTCTCTTCGATCCCGGCGCCCACGTCGCACCCCTCCTCCCCGAGCACCGACAGCCGCTTCTTCTCCCCGGCGCCGCCCCCGCCCCCGCCCCCGGCGCCGTTCCGCGCCTGGTGGGGCTTCTTCTTCCCGCCGCCGGCGGAGGCCGGGAAGTGCGACGACTTGACGTCTTCCCGCGCCGCGGCGGCCGGCGAGCGGCAGCAGTTTCCCATGGCTGCCGCGCGAGATTGGGAGTGGGGGCACTAGGGTTTGCGCGGCATTGGGCACTGTGCGAGTGGGGGAGGAGGAGGAGAGGGAGGAAGAGGGGCTAGAGAGAGAGTGTGGGGGAGAGACAAGCCAGGCGAGGCGAGGCGTGCGCAGACGAGGCGAGGCCAGGCTACCAGCGAGACCTGTGTCGGGGTATAACGGTAAGGACGAGGCGTGGGGGATGGGTTTCCGGGGACGCGTAGCAGGCACTGTGGCCCCGGAGGACACCCCCACGTCGCGCTGTTCTTAGAGCCCAATGGGCCACTGGAACGCGGGCCCGGCGTGGGGAGGAGTTTCGGGTGGTGGGCCCCGCGGTCGCCGGGGACGGGAAGTTTGAGTGTCCGAAGGCGGACCAGGGAGAGTTTCGGGCCATGTTTAGTTTCATCCGAGGCCATGTTTAGTTTCATCTAAAATCTAAACTTTGACACTATAAAAAAGAAGATTTCCCATCACATTAAATTTACGATACATGTATGGAGTATTAAATATTGATGAAATTAAAAACTAATTACACAGTTTGGTTGTACTTTGTGATACGAACGTTTTGAGTCTAATTAGTCAACGATTGGACAAGTACCAAATAAAAACAAAACGCTACTGTAGCTAGAGTGTAGCTACAGTAAATCCGACGGCGCCAACTCCGCCGAACTAAACATGGCCTCGATCGACTCGACTCGACAGTCAGACAGGCCGTGTAGTGGACAGAGGAATCGGATATAATCTGACAAGATTTGTTATATACGGTATATAATAAAATTTAAAAAACAAGCGCTTGATTAGCGATTTGTTTAATCTGAAAGATTCCAAGGTGATGACATGTGATTGTGAATGTCAGGAATCGGGGGCTTAGAATGTCGAGGCACAGTGTTGTTTGCACGCTTGAAACCGTAGCGTTCTCTTCTCTGATGTATTTTTATATATATAAATTTGGACGGTCTCCTGAAATGTTCGGTATGGTATTCAAATAAAGCTTAGAAAAGCTGAAAGTGCTTTCTTTCTTGCCCTAAAGTCTTGTGATTCCGTAGTCATCTCCGCCTCTTTATGACCAAGTCAGATGCTTCCAGTTGCACACTTTCATTCTTGATTTTTTTTTACAATAGTCAGAAAATCAAGGTAGCCGCCATGGACGATAATCAAGGGACCCAAGGCTCAAAGTGCTTGTCCGCTCGGCGTAAACCAGGGTTGGCCGGGTAATCATGAGAATGCAAGCTGTAATCCTTCTTTTTATTCTCTTTATTTCGCTATACGTCAAATCAAAGGGGTAGGAGCCGTTGAAAAATGTGGCGAAGAGTGAGACTCAAGAATTCCACGGGATATTCTTCTTGCCCCTTGTTTAGTTCCACCAACTTTGCACCTTAAAAGTTTGCACAGTGTAAGATTCTCCATCACATCACATTAAATCTTTGACATACACGTATGGAGATTAAATGTAGGTAAAAAATAACTAATTACACAATTGGTTGTACTTTCATGGGCAGAATGTTTTAAGCCTCAATTAGTCAATCGGTTGGATAATTATTACCAAATACAAACGAAATACTACAAAGACTCACCACAAAGACACCGTGCTTTTTGGACGTGCAAAGTTTGGGCAACTAAACGCACCCTTGCTTGCCTGGCCTGTTATTACCTCCTTCATTAAAATCGTAAATTCAAATAACCACAGTCACATCACGTTCCTCGCCATGTGTTGTGTGTTTGAAGCCGTACGTATACGACGGCCCTGCTATACAGATACCTCCAAACATGTCGTTATGGGTTGATAGGATCAGCTCTGAGTTGGAATAATCACAAAAAATGCAAAACACAATCATGCTCCTCGTAGTAGTTGACAAAACCAGCGCCAGACTCGATCTACACTCTACTGTGTGGTCACAGCCGGCTTTGGCGGCGCGTACGTATGCATTGTTCCGAACGGTTCTATGCTTGTCTTGCTGGACCAGTACCCAACTACTCAGAAAACGCTCCGTTCAATGACTTTTTCTTTCCAAAAAGATGCATTTGTTTCGTAAAACAAGCCGGCGTTTTTCAAAGGAAAGGTCTAGCTATCTTGTAAAAAAAACAATGCAGAAACACGGTCCGCTAAATGATGAAACTACGCGTAAATTTTCAGAAACTGTCCCGTGAGCTGCGTTGTTGATTGCATGTACTCCTACTACAATGCAGTAGTATTACTAACTAACGGGACCCGTCTTGTCAGCGCACGTAGAAAAAGGATCACAGTGGAATATTCCTCTATTATAATCTCCTTGCATTCATCGCAGCATCTGACACACTGGAAGAATCCTGCATTATGATGCCCTTCAGAGTGATGCGGGCTCCGATTTTTGCAGTCGCTCGCTGTGCTACACTGAGGTGCCAACCAATTACGTAGTGCGCGTCATGTAGATGCAAAGATTTGTGACGTAGAGATGCAAATATGGAAAAAAAAACACACCAAATCACGTACTGTACTAACAGTTAACGCTATGAACTAGTACAGTACTACTGTTACTCAATCAGTAATGACTTTGCGACAGAATCTCCTGCCTTGGTGACTGGTGAATGACAGAGCGAGCCATCAGTGGTCGTACCGACCATGGTTTAAAAAATGGAGGCGCCTGCCCGGACCGACCGCTTTACGCAACCTTTTTACGTTGGGTGCCATGATGCGCCCGTGTTTCTTGTGTCCCCAGGCTTTGCCATTGCCAAAAAGGGCCTCCTCTTAATCATTGATCACGCTACAGGAGGGCCCGCCGCCTCGCCGTCGTCGATCTGACGAACGGCCGTGATTCCCCCACGGCGTCGCCTGTGCTGACAAGTTGCCAAAATATTTGCCGGCCCGTATGGGTGTGTTCGGTTCGTTTTCTAGAGTCTGGCTAGCAAAACTAAGATATGCTAGCCTTAGCCTGCTCTAATTAAGTCATTTCACGGATGTTTGGTTGTCTGCATTATGTTAGCCTGGCTACACACATGTTTGTTTGGTTAGTTGGCTTGCTTTGCATAGAGTTACCTCTTCTTTGAGCTAGCGAGTTCACCTCCTCTGAGGTATTTTGTCGAACAGCTAGTGGGCACGCCCCTCACTCCCTTGCCGTCGTCCTCCTCGCCAGCACGTCGAGCACCAACCGCGCCCTTGCTGTGGTCCTCCTCCGGCCCCTCACCATGGCCGCGCCCACAGCAACTCCGCCCCCTTGTCATGGTTGCACTTCTCCTCTCCATGGACCTTGTAGTGCTCCTCGTCCGTCCCCTTGCCATGGTCACGCCTGCTACTGCTGCTTGCCATGGCCGCTCCCTCGGCTGCTGCTTCTTGCCATGGCCGCGCGAGCACAACACCGGCGGCTGCTCCACCTCCATCCAATAGCTCGCGCCACCTGCTTTGCCTTGCCCTTGCGCTGCTCCGTTACTCGCTTGCGTCAGCCTTCGTCGCCGGAGCTCGCGGGCGCCGCCACTGCAACACCCTCGGTGTTACACCGTAAATCATCTACCAAAACATGTCATGAGCATCATACTTATGTGTTAAGGCATGTGGTGAAGTGAGTAGATACATCATTGCAACTAAAATGACAAATAAAAATGCTAAACGAAAAGTTCATTCGTGATTCGTATAATTATCACGTAGGATTGTAAAGCAATATTTATTGAACAAAAATGCTATAGAACATGTATGCGACACTTAAATGAAGTTTGAATTGTGAACTTTGTAGATGACAATGAAATACTTGGTATTGAAAAATAATATTGCTAAGTAGTAGTTTCAATAGCTTAAAAATGTAGTTTGAAATACGATTCAATTCAACACTTAGAAATTTTCTAAGCTTGTGGACAGCTAGACATTGCCTTGTTTAGCAATTTATTTTACAAGATTGGGTTAAGAGGTGGTGCTGTGTTTTACCTTGGTTTAGTAGTCCAATATACCACCTTGAGTGTAGTGAAGATGGTTTGGGTGTAGGGTCAACCGTTTAGTCGCTTTGGGTGCTTTAAAATCCGTGCACAGCGTGTTCTCGAGCTGCTTTTCCCGGCTGAGCGCGATCACCATGCCGAACGGCCACGACGTCGTGGTGCTCGGTGTGTGCACGCGCGCGCTTGGCCACGCGCTGGCGACCGAAGCTGCCCGCGGCTTGGCCACTCTGGTCACATCACTGGCCGCCTCGGGCTGTCGCCGCACGGAGCCGTGGCTGGCCGACTCGTCACGTCGCGCTACCCCCGCCTGCTGCCGTTGCTGTGCGCTGCTGCTGCCTTCTGTGCCGCGCCGCGACAACGCCGCTGCCGCTACCGTTGCATCACCACGCTGCGCGCCTAGCCGCTGCGCTGCGCCACTAGCTCGCTTGGACGCTGCACGCACGAGACCAAACCGTCGTCGCCATGCCATTTATGGCACTGTGGCACACGGGCCACGCCGTCCTCGAGCGTGTGTCGTCGGCTAGTGCCGTCCGTGGTCACTCCGGGTCACGTCAACCGCGTCCCGCCAAAGAAGCATAGAGCGAGCCTTGACTGTGTCCCCACCGCTTCCCACTCCTCCTTTGTCCTTTTCTTTGTTGTCGCCGCCGAGCCGTGCCAGCCCACCTGCATGCGAGAAGCCATCCCCCATCAATTCCACGTGCCTACGCCTGTGCCCTCACGTCCTCTCGCTGCCCGCCACCACCCAGAATTGAACCGTGTAAGGCCAAGCTCCAATTTAGAGATTGCCCCGCCACCACGCCGTTAAGACCCGTCACCGCCCTCACCGTGGCCAGCCCCCTCCTCAACGTCTCAAGCTGAATTGGCTGCACCACTAGCCCCGCCTAGAACACCTCATCGTGCGCACCTAAGCCACACCTCAAACGTTGCCTCCTCGCCGCTGGCACGGTCGTGTCACTGTGGTTCGCCGTTGAGCTCGCCACGCGCACACGGTCAGGCTCGCTCGGGGCATCCCGGTCAAACCATCACCTCCGCTAGGTCAGTGTTGAGCCCCTACTGCTCACCCGCTATCCCTACTGCCTTGTTAATA